CATTTTTAACACGTTCCAAACTCAATGGCATTGGCCACCAAACACACCATGGGTCTGTGTAAACCAATGCACCTCAAAGAAAGTGGAGTGAGGGAGGACTGAGGCTTAAGAGACAATCACAGAGGAGTTTAGGATAGTGGTTAAACCTTAGGGCTCTGCAGCCAGATTCCTGACTTTGCAGCTAACTAGCTCTGAAACCTTAGGTGAGACATTTTCATACTCTAAGCATCTGTGTGCTTATCTGTAAAAATAGGGAGAATAGTTAACCTCATTAGGATGTTGTGCAGATTAAATGAGGTGAGATTCCTAATGCAATTAGCACAGAGCCTGGCATACAGTTAGTTTTAGCTCAATCTATTCTAATTATGAGTGATTGTTTTTCTTCCCTCAAATACTAAGTTGTCCATTTTACATTCTGGACAGTATAGCTTTTACAGAGCCCACTCAAATACTGCTATCTTTTGTATTTAGAGAGACAAAGACAGTCTTGGGCATATTAAGATTGATTTTTAAACTTATTACTGTATTTCTGATATTCATGTTATCGTTCTTGCTATGAGTAACATTAGTTAATTCCAAGGGAGTAAAAGGAACAATAACAAGCCATATTTTTCTAAAAACCATAGGTAATATCTATTTTTAAAATTTGCCAAGTGGGCCAAACACATGGTTGCCTGCAGGAGGCAAGCATAGTATCTCTGCCTCCATATTGCCCACTCTGCTCCCTCCTGGCCATGCCTCATCCCTCTCCCTCAGCTTGCCTGCGCTTGGCCTTGGAATCTAGCGTTACCTCTGCAGTCACTCCTTCTTCACACTCATTTCTAGCCACAAGTCTTGGTTTTCAGATTTAATTTTGGGCAATGCAATCCACATTTCTCCCCATATGTAAGTCACTCTTGCCTGTGGGTAAGTGGCACTCCTGGGGAAAGCTTAGCAGGGAAACATGAATGAAGTCAATAAAATCCCTTACAAAAAAGTTAAGATGGACCTAACGGAGTTGTTCTCCAAATCCAGTTATTCCCAAACTAAGGGTAGTGTGGCATGATCTACTGAGAAGTCCTTGGATAAGACAACAGTATTTCTCAAAATGCATGCTCAAGAGATCAGAACAACCTGGGGGACTGCTTAAAAATGCAGATTATGAGGCCCACCCCAGATCTACAGAATAAGAGCATCTGAGAATGGGGCCCAGGAATCAGCCTCTCTGAAAAGCAATCCAGATGATGATTCAGATGCTCTTTGCCTTTCCTGTGAAATTGGCATCAAGAAAACTAAACTCGTCCTATGAATAATGGGCTGATCTAATCATGAACATAACCTTGAATGGTATATGTGTTATTATTATGTGAAAGATGAACACACTACAAACCAGAATGACAAGCAACCAAGACATGTTCAGGGGAAAAAAAAAGTGTAGTTAAATTTTTCTCACGTAGCAGGTGTACCATTCAAATACTGTTCAGATTTCCACTAGACAGGGGAACAGCTTAAGTAAAATGGCCACCGTATTTTAAATTCTCCCTCCCAGTCTCACTGGCCCAGCTACATTTATTTGGGGGATGGGGGGTGCATATTAAAACTTCTTAACAAGAGTGCGAGGGCAGAGGGGACATACCCCACTGTAGACGGCTGGTCTGGATGTACCAGTGCAAATTGGTGGAATGTCAGCCCTTTCTTCTACAATAAATAATTTCACCAAGACTGAGACAAAATAGAATGTGTCCCTATCCATTTTATTTTGGGGAAAGACAATAGATGTGATTACAGCCTTAACGTACTTCCGCTAGATTTGTTTTCTGTAAAAAAGGACTGATTAAGGATTATAAAACTTCCTACTTCCTAAACTGCTTGAAATGTTACTATTGCTTCAAATTTAGAAAGAGCTTTCATGACCTGAGCCATGCAAGCATTTGTTCTATTGTTAAAGACCTAGTGAACTGGTATCTGGGAGTTTTATATGTGCGGAAAGGCACATTCCTGGCATGTTGCCTTAATGGAGGTGCACATAAGATACAAAGCCTCCATGTGCTCTGGGAAAATGAACTAGAGAATCAACCAAAAAACTTTCAGACCAGTTAAAAATGTAAAATATAGCTACCACAGAGTTTAACTGTACAGCGGTAGTTTCAACTTCTGTACCAGGAGACAATTTTTGCATTTTCTTGGGATTAGCCCACAGCTACAGCCATATCGGACAGATGTTTTTAACTCTAAATGCAATACGGAATTACCTATCATTTCTTTGCTATGCAAACTGAATATTTTGCATGAGCATTCAAAAATGCATGTTTATAGTTTAAACTTCTTATGTTTATTGTTTTCTACCACCAAATGTAGTCTACAGATGGAAAATTCAGGGTCTTTGATGTGTGGTGAGGAATTCCTCAAAAGAATCAGTTACACACAGAGAGACATATTACACATAATGTTGAGAAGGGCTAGATTACAGTTATCAAAACATGTACAGGAGCAATTCTCATCTAGAAGTGTTTCAGGGATTCCAAATGATCATACTCAACAGCTGGTCCTATTTGCAAGACTTGGTCAATGGAAAACACTGCTGCTTTTTCCCCCTTATGGTTTCCCCACACACTCCATTGCCATCTTTGTGAAGGCAGAGTGGCATGCTGCCTTATCACTGCTTCTCCATATTACCCTCAAATGACAGCAACGAAAGCTGGCAAGACAATCAAACAATGTGGCAGCCCATTTTTATGAGTTTACCTTTAAAGACAACCAAGAGAGTTTTAGAGGGGGAAGGAATAGAGAGGCTTTGCAACTATAGGGAACTGCTGTGGAATATTTATTTTTGGAAGTTAATGGCTTCCTTGCAATAAGGATGCTAATTAACATTGAAAGGTTATTTGGAATAATTACAAAGGTAACGTTCTTAGAAAAAAAAGGCATGCAGAATACACTTCTTGCAGGGGTGTCCAATGTTTTTGGAATCATTTTTGTCATACTTTAACTTTTTACAAAAAAGTGGTATATAGAATTTCTTTTTCAATCCCAAAGACTTGGTTTTGAGATTTTTTGTGGCAATCCTCAACTGCAAATATGTTGAGATATCATCAAAGCAGGTTTAAAGATATGGGTAATCTAGTCTTGGGGCCTCAAAAATATTATAAAACGTTACTTAGCTTGGACAGGGCTAACCAAATGTTCTGGATGATGGTTACTGTAAACACATACACATACAAGCATGCATATTTAAGGATTACCAATTTTAAACAAATTATTATGGATTAAACATCAAAATTTGATCTTTGCTGACAAGAAGGCACTGTAGAACATTGGTATCATAATCAGCTTTCTGTTAATGAGTCAGTCAACAAGAGATTTGTCATTGATGAACTACAGCATAACAATGTCCAGAGGGGAGAATTCTCTCTCCCATGGTCCCAGCTTATAGGACTGGCAGTACTAGAGCTAGAACTGGAAGCAGGGGTAAGCACTAATCTTTTGATACATCCTCATATGAAGTGAATGCAACACGAAAAATCTAAGCTCTATCAGACAATTTTAATACCTCAAAATAAAAAGGGTCAAAGAGATTAAGCCCAATGTGTGCAGCAGACAAAAGGATTTCAGAGTCCAAAATGAAAGGGACCTTGGCCATGAGAATTGCAAAGTGGGGATGCATTCTCCAGCATTCCTACTAGGCACTGCTCTGTGGATGCACTGTGATGGAGCCCACTGTTAACCATTTCCGGCCCAACATAAGAGGGATTATTTTCTCATGAAAATCCATTTCTTCATTTCACAAGAGAAAGCAATAAAAACACAATGTTCCAAAATTTGCTTCTACAAACCAACTCTGCCAGACTAGTAAATTGAACAATATTTATACTTTAGAATTTCAAGGATTTAAGCCTCTCACCCACCAACCAAAGCCATACCATAAACCATTTGTTTAGATATGATATGAATAAGTAGGTCAAAAACACTTTTGGAAAAAAATGTTCTTTATTTCTATTTATTCATTTATGTAAAGACAGTATCAGTAATATGTAATACAAACATATTTTTAAAATTAATTTTCCATTTTGAAAGGTTCAGGATTTTGTCTCTTCTATCTTACTCTTTTAAATACTTCACTCCAACAAAACAGCAGACAAATAAAAAGCGTATTCGCTTACTTTTCCTTAGGGTCATATTGGGAGAATTAGAATTGAATCTTTAGAATTTAGATACCATTTATAGTAAGCTAGAGATTTAATCACAGAATGATACATGTAAGAATGTCATAGTGCACACATAAAAAAAACAGAGAACTTAAAAGGCCAAATTTCAGGGGAATTTCTAACTCTAAAGCATGAGAAAGTCCTCTTAGGTATCCTTGAAAGTTTAAAGACCTTCCTTCAGATTCAGAATGAAAATAACAGGAATTATAGAACATAATGGGCACTGGTGATACGGCCCTAAGTAGCTGCATTAAGTTAGGGGTAACTGGGGTCTCCACATTACAGGGAAGGCGCTAATGGAAAAAAAGGCCAGGAAGCCACTTTAAACTCATGTCCGTAGCAGGTCAAATGATGCTGATACAACTATTTCCTTTAGAAAGGTACTATGTCATCTCTATCTTTCTGAGGGTTAGCTCCTAAACTGCTCACACTGCTATTTCTCTTCTTTACATTAGCAGTTCTAGGAGCAAACCTCCCAGAGGAATAGTAGTACAGACTGGAAAAGCAAGACTGCAAAGGGGCTCTAATGCTCTAGTTCGTCACAAAGTCCAGTGTCCAACAAGGAGAACAGCTAATCTAGAAACAGATTGTTAACTCTGACTCTAGCACATTCTTGGAATATTAAACAACTTTTGTGGTTTAGAAATGTTAATATTACCTACTACATTGACTCTCCTGGATGTATTTTATATTAAACAAGAAATAGGCCAACAAACAAAAATAAAAAATCTACTTGCTCTCTAACAAATAATATTTTTATGTTTTTATACAAGCAATTCCTTTCAGATACTCTGATTAACTTTTAAGTGACATAAAAAAGTCTCAGCATTCTTTAATACCAATCTTTTGCACAATTTAAGATATACCCATTGAGTTTAGCCTTTTAAGGAAAAAAAATTAAAAAAAAAAAGAATGGTAACTCACTGAGAAGCTTATGTTTAACTAGTGAAGTTTAGTTTGTTTTATATTCTTTACAAAAATTAGGCCCAGAATTTTAGTTATCCTAATTATCATCCCAATCAAATAAAATACCTATGTGTGGATTTTAGATAACAGGTAAAGTATTTTGAACTAATAAATGTAGGACCCACTGATTGGACTGTTTGTTTAGAATGTTTTACTGGGTTTAGATAATGAAGACTTCAATAAAGCTAATTATGTACTGAGTTCCACTGATTAAAAATGCAGTTTGAAAAACTCTGCTTTTGTGATAAATTTCTAGACAAATTATAAATGCAAAGCACAATATTGTAAATATTGTACTGTTTGCAGGTACTTGTTGGAGAAGTGAAATGCCAGTATACAAATTATCAAAATTCTGACCTTTCAAAATAATAGGTTTTTAAAACAATTTTTTGAAAATCAGCATTTTCTTTTAAATGCTTAAAATGTCAAATTCAATTAAAAATAATCCTTACAGATAAATCTTAGTTATTCCTTCAATATTAATTATTTTTTATTTTTAACCATATATTCAACACTGAATCAGTTTCTAAATAAACAGCTAATAAAGAACAGTTTCAACGTAAAATAAAATTAGGTAATGTACTATAACTTGTACATAAAGTATGAGTGTGATTTATCAAAATTCAGAATTAAATTTCTATAATAATGAAAAACTCTCAGTCTCTTCTTCAAAACCAGCAACTACCCATGCAACTAGAAAGTAAGCAGAGAGGATCAAACAGATTTAAGCACTGCCCGACTTCTTCTAAAGTGATGTACTCTTTTATCCTAGAAAAAACAGAAACAGTCCTTTTTACTTCCTTGAAAATTTCCTATTATCACTATGACCAAAGAGAGATGCAAAATACTATAAAGCATTTATTTTGGGTTAAAAAATTGTATAAATAATGAGAATACAGGTGATCCTTTGGGGAAGCATTCCTGAACTTTGGAATAACAAATGTACCATGGTGGCTAGTTTTATTCAACAGTCAGTTAAAAAAGAAATCCCAGTAAACTCAGAGATACAGGACTTAAAGAGGCAGTATCATTTAATATACATTCTTAGTTAATGACTTGGCAATGATGTCCCAAAGATAGCTGGTGGAAAATGTATGTAACTTTCTGAAGTATTATTTTTACTAAGTGAAGTACATCTTCTAGAAATGATAGCTTGAAAACCGTACTCCAATCTGAAATCCCATGCTTTTAGGTTAAAAGGTTTAAGTCTTGGTACACTTAAAGGAACTGGTTCTTCCTTAACCTGTGATGGAAATTATCACTCTTTGGGAAGGAGAAAAACTAAAAATATATGCAAAATACTCCTTTCACTTTGTTGCCCACAGATGTACAGACAGCAGGAAGTAAGGCCTTACAAAGAGGAATGGGGCTGTGTAAACCAGTAATAACACTGTATTTTCTGATCTACATATAGTTAGCTTAACTGTGCCATTTTCCTAGGGATTAAATTGGGATGTCATATAAAGAGGGGTCACTTCTGGAGGGGCAATATCCTATTTAGGATGAAGCCTAGAAAAGCAGTCCCAAACTCAAATATCTTCAGGGAAAACCTAAGGGTATGAAGAGGCTGGACAACAGAGAGTATAATTTACCATGGAAACAGTGTAAACCCAGCCTCAATGATTCCAAATTGAATTAAACCATAACACATTTAGCCAATCAAAACAGGTCTGGATGGCAGAGAACTACATGCTCCCAACTCCTGACTCTTAGCCCAGAGGTTGCAGAAAATTCTTGGAAGTTGGATGGAAGGCTTTTGTCTAATACCAGGCGAAAACTCAAATTTAAAGATTTTATTTTACACTCTCCATACAAATGGTAAGTGCTACCTATTTGCTTTGGTTAAGGTAAGCTAACGTACAGCCCCAGTTCCTTCCTTTCTAAATTGTACTGTCTATGTAGCTTAAAGTAATAACAGAATAAATGTCAACTTTAAATCAATATTTTTCTCCCTATTGCAAAGATGGTGGCAACTCAATCATGCTACAGCTGCCTCTACTCTTCTGCATTATAGGAGGTTCTTACTATATCCTTCACAAAGGCTTTCTAAGCTTCATCCTATGTCCATTCATAGATGGAAGAAAGCTATTTTCCTTCCCCAGTTTAAGACACAAAGCAATGGTTAAAAAATTCTCTTTGAATGTAAAATGGTACAGCTGCTTTGCACTGAAGTCTGGAAGTTCCTCAAAAGATTAAACATCGAGTTAACCATATAACTCAGCAATTCTATTCTTTGTTATATACCCAAGAGAAATGAAAACTTATGTCCACACAAAAACTTGTACATGAATGTTCATAGTAGTATTACTAAAAAAGTGGAAACAACCCAAATGTCTATCAACTAATAAATGGATAAACAAAATGCAGTATATACATAAAAAAAGGAATGAACTGATACATGCAACAACATGGATAAACCTTGAAAACATTACGCTAAGTAAAAGAACACCGTCACAAAAGATCACGTTGTATGATGCCATTTATATGAAATGTCTAGAATATGCAACTCTATAAGCAAAGTGTATCAGTGGCTACCTAGGGCTGGAGGGTTTGGGGGGAAAAGGGAAGTGACTATTAATGGCTTCTTCTTGGGGTGACGAAAATGTTCTAAAATTTATTGTGGTGATGGTTGCACAACTCTGAATATAATAACAACCACTGAATTGTACACTTTAAATAGGTGAATTGTACAGTGTATGAATATTTCAAAAAAGCTGCTATTAAAAAAATTTCCCTTTACAAAGCACAACATCCCTCCCCTATCAGAGTGATACAGGGTTGCTATAAGTCAGAATTGACTTGACTGCAACAGGTTTGGTTTTGGTATCAGAGTGATCAGCTAGTTCTTTTTCATATTCACAGACCTTTAGTCCTGCCTCCTAACTTCATACTTTTAAAAACTGGAGCCTAATAAGATTTAAGTGATCTGTCCAAGGTGTGGTAGAACCAGGAGCAGAAACCAGTACTTCAAGTTTGAATACCCTCATTCTTTTCCACTTTACCAACTCTGCATCAACTTCTATTTCTTTCCAGTTACTGCTTCTCTTTACCCTCCTCCCCTCAAACTGTTTATGGTATGTCATCTGATTTACCCACTTCTTTTCTGCTCTCTCGTATGATATTTATGTATTCTTAAGTTTTGCATTCTCCATCTAGAATTTTCTCTTTTACCATCTGGTCAAGTCAATATTTTCTTTCAACCCTCTTCTTTCACAAATCCTTTCAATTCTAAATTTTTTTTAAAGGCTTCTTCCCTAAGGACAAACTACCCTATATCAGAGTTTGAACAGCATAAAATACACTACTAGGTAAAACCCACCCACGATGATTTACTAGGTTAGTCAAATGTGAACAGTTTAATTATATGTTCTAAGTAACCTCAAAATACATATACAATAGAAAAAAAAGATGCTTCAAATCTGACAAACGTATTTTTTTCAAGGATACTATTCTTTCATACCTTGAAGTAGTCATCTTGGGGAACAAGAGAGTTTCTCAGTCGGCTCTCTGGATTAAACAGACAAGATACCACTGTCTGTATGCTTCGGTCCACCAATTTCTGAAACACAAAAGTTTCCATTAATATAATGACTATTTCTCCTTTTACTCACTATTAACAAGCTTTTTTCTTGGGGTCGGGGGTGGGGGGAGTTCAATGAACACATACGCTTATTTTCAAAGAATTCCTACGTAATTAATTTTTACCACATACGTAAGTTTTCTGCCAAACTAAAGAAATACTTAGAACCTTAGTTATAGAATACTAGTTAAAGAAAGCTAAATTCTATTAGAACCCTAGGGTATTTTTCATAAGGCTCTTTCATTTTTTTGTTAAGAAATAGCAAGCTTAAATATTTCAAGAAATAGTACCCATAACAAAACTTGATAATATAATTATACCATAGGATACGTTAATATTTTTTTTTCAAAATTTTAATCATGTATCAAAAATCAGGAAATTATTTCACCCATGGTTGAGTAGTTCTCAATAATTTTTTCCACTGGGAAACACATGGATGAAACTCACACACTCAATGGGAATCAGTCACTGTTTATGCATATTCTCAGCACATCAGCTATATCCACATTCCCACCCATTGAAGAAAAGAAGAAAATGCAAGAGTGAGAGTACTAGTATAGAAATCTGCTCTAAATGATAAAAAGAAACTCTGCTTATTTCAGTATTTCAATTATTATTAGTGACTTCACCACTCTTGAGAACCGCTGCCATATATAATGTCACAGAGAGCATACCATAAACAATTGCATTACTATTTAGCTAAATAAATATTTAAACTGGTAAAAGATCAGATAGAATTCATTCTAATCTTTCTTTTGAAGAATAGACTTCTTGAAGAAACTGCCCATTGCATGCTGCTAAATCTTATTAACCAATATTTATTAAAGTATACTAAAAAAAAACAATGAAAATGTAAGAGAAGAAAGGACTGCTGAGTCTGAAACTGTATATACACATTGAAAGTCTGGGGTTTAAGAGTGTTTGAAATTTATCAGCATTTACATTGACTACTAAATTATTACTTAAGCTCTGTAATGCTTACAGCTTCCATGTATAAATATGGGTAGACATACTTGCTTTTCAAAAAGCCATTATTAAAACTTGAAAAAATAAATATTAGTAAACAAAATTAGATGTTTGCCTTTTGCGGGCCATTTCCAGAGGATGGAGCAGCTTCATGAACTGAGCATTCACTTGTCGAAACTTCAGTTCCTGGATCAACTTCATTACAGTGGTAGTTAACAGTTGTATAAGCCTACATTTAAAATGATAAAAGTGTAATTAAAGACATATGCAGATACATTTCTAAACAAACTAATCTTTAAAATGGTGAGCTGATACTGAAAGTTTAACTGTGGGTTGTGTTTAAATCCAATTATATTGTTCCAGAAACTATTATAAGCCAAATAGTTGAAATGCAATAAGGAAGCTTTTTATTTTGAAATTGTTTTCTAAGCTTCAACATAATCAGAATTAGAAGGGCTCTAAGAGAAAGAAACTCCAACGTGTAGTAAGCGAGTGCCTGGGAATTTTCACACTTTCAAAATCCTTCGAATATCCAATCATAATAAAAGACAAAGACAATATCTTTGTAGTTTCAGAGGCAGCACCCCCCTTTGTTTTATTCCTTTTCTTACTTAACAGTATTAACAGCAATAATATTTCTCAGTTTCTTTTTAACAGATTTTTTTTATGTGCAGCAAAACCAAAAATAGATTCTAGGCAGATTCAATGCTAATTCTAAATCCATATTAATACTACCTTTCTTGGATTGTATATTCTATCAACAAGTAACTGAGCACCTATTGTGTGGAGAACAGCCATTGCTTAAGCACACAAACAACCTGAGGAACAAAACGCATAGTTTCTCTCATGGAAGTATATAATCAGGTTAACAAAAATCAAAACATAATATGTAATGTGAAAGTGCATTTTAAAATATTTCTACGCATATGTAATATGGCAAAAGATCAGGAGATATTAATAATGAAGCCAGAAAATACATCTTAATAAAAGAATGGGAGGTACATGTTTAACTAATTCACTTTACCGGAGGTATAACATAGCTCCTTTGTTCCCCTGCAGGCCACTGCGGTGGCATCTTTTTTAAAAAAAAGAAACAACAATTATTTAATTATTCCTATACATTTTATCAAAGATATGAGATAGATAATGTTCAGGTATTTGTTATGCGGGCTCCTTGAACTTATTATAATGAAAGAAACAGAACAGAAAAGTACTTTATGTTTCTATTATCTGAGATTCTTAATGCTATTTTCATACATAAGCCCTACCTTTTCCTGAATTTTCTGGAGTTGGCTTTCAGGAAAACCAAAGATAATAGTTTTCTGAATTTCTTACCATAAATATGGTCATAGGTCATAAATATGGTCACGTCTATGGGAAGAAATTCAGAGAACTATTGTCTTGGAGCAGCCTGCTCCAACACTACTAAATACAATTGGAATTCAGTGCTCTAAGAATTTAGTAATCAAATTATTTCAATCTATTCACCTAGAAAAATTTATAAAAATCAGCCTGGATATCTGACAGCAAAAATGGAAGAATACACATTGACATATAGAAGGGGACACCAAATCTTAGAGAACAGTTCTAGAGAAAAGTTCTTACTAAGTACATTCCTGTCAAAATACCATTCCTTTATTTCTAAATAATATAAAAGGTTCTAATTCTAGACTAATACTTTCTTAAATTTTAAGGCACACTTCATTAGTTTAAATGACAAACTACTTGGGAAATTTATACGTATGAATAAAAGGACTCCATAATATCCAAAGTAAATAATTTTGTTCTCTCTTACAGTACCTGATAATTATATACCGGCAGTTGATATCCAGTGATGACTTGAACTGGTGAACTTGGATAAGGAGGATATGCCTGAAAATAAAGTTTACAGAAAGAATACATTAACAAGGTAAATTTAAAAAAAAAAAAAAAAAAGGAATATTATCCCTAATATATCAAAAATATCAAATTAAATACTAATAAGGTCTTTTTTTGTATGCAAAAATAGAGGATTCTAATTGAGTTTATGTCTAACCTCATGAAGAAAAAAATATTCTGTCAAGTGTTAGTCTTTTGGGTGGGGAAGAGGAGGAGAAAACTAATGAGAAAAGTGACTGATTTTGCCAGTCTGAGTTTATATTAGTTATTTACCCCACCTAGAAGTTTTTTCTCATACTTGTGATAAGGCTCTATTAGGTCAGATTTCCATGTCAATACTGTATTAATACATCTGCTGTTTCTTTGTAAAAATACTTTTAGGCAGTTTTGCATTCCACTGACAATATTGTGGGGAAACAAGTAGTCTCCTACAGACTTTAGGCTCTCTCCGCATTTCACTTCTAAAAATTAAGGGCAGTATATATATAATCTAAAACTCGAAGAGATAGTACAATGTCTTACATTGTTTCAATAAATATATACTGATACGTAAACATATAGGTAGCAGCACATATAAATACACCTAAGATAAGTAATGGCTCACAGTAAATGTTAGGAACAGCAGGACTTTTCTTCTAGCCATGTTCAGAGCAAGAAAAATAAGATATACCCTACATTTCAGGTAGACAGAAAATGTAAACTCAAAAGAAAGACACTGCAGAGCTATTGCATTATCATTTCTTTCTTTGTTTTCCTGCAAAGAAAATGTCTTTTAAGTGGAAGAAAGTAAAATTAAGTAAGAAGGAAATAAAAGGTTATTTCTCATCAATAGGAAATCTTAAGTATGCCAAATCCCACTTTATTAAAATAACTAGAACCAGACAAATTATATGCCAGAAATTCACAAAGTTTACAAATACAGTTAAATCCATCAGAAACCTATTCATCCTAGAACTAGAATATATCCATACGTCAGCTATCTATATGAAGAAGCATCTGGAAATCATTTCAAATAAGGAATTGCTGGAAGAACTGCTAAGCTTGTAGAAGACAGGCAAACACATGAAGAAAGCTGCCTTGAAATGTTTTAGGAATATGGAGAAAAAAAGGAAGAAACTTGTTCTATGTGACTACAGAGATAAAGGTTTACAAGCTATATAGAAGCAGATTTTAGCTTAGTTTGAGGTAAAACAGTAACAATGAGAGACTTCTAAAAAAAGTAATAGATTTCCCATCATTCAAGTATTCAAACAGGAACTGTATTGCCACTTAATAGGGAAGTTGTGGATGTAATTCCACAGACAGTAAAAAGTGAGACTGGCTTACTTTTAACGTGCCTTCCAGCTCTAAGATCTCCAGCACTGTAACAAACAACAACAAAAAAACAGGAATATTGGCAATTCTTACCTGAACATATTGAGTTATAGGATTCATCATAGTTGGAGGCTGCATAAAAGTTTCAGTGTTTGGATTACTCCAGACACTCTGAAACTGTGGTGGAGGAGGCGGATTAAAAACCAAAGGTCGTGGCTGCACATGATAAGCACCTTTTTAAAAAAGAAAAAGAAAAACAAGTCCTATTTTTAGTTCTCTGAAAAGCTACACTTAGCTCAACAATCATTTCTTCCCTTACTCACACAAATTTTGTTTCCTGATTGCAGGGCCCAGTTTTAGCTTTTTACCATGGAAATTTATCTGTGACTGAAAATAAAACAATAACAAAATTAGAATAAATTTTCAAGCCTTTACTTCCAAGACTTTAGTAAACATCCCTGTTATGGATTGAACTGAGTCCCCCAAAAATATGTGTTGTAAAATCCTAACACCTATACCTGTGGATGTAATCCCATTTGGGAATACGGTTTCGTTTGTTATGTTAATGAAGTCATATCTGTATGGGTGTGCTTTAAACCAACTGCTTTTGAGATATAAAAGGAGATTAAGCACAGAAGCAAACAAGCAGGAATGGGGAAAGATAGATGCCAGGTAGAGCTCGTCAAAGAACACCAAGGAGAATGTTAGAGAAGCTGACACAAGGACTTTCCCCCAGTGCAGAATGACAAAGCCTTCCCCTAGAGCCAGAGCTCTGAATTCGGACTCCTACCCTCCTAAATCCTGAGAAAATAAATTTCTATTCGTTAAAGCCACTCACTTGTGGTATTTCCATTATAGCAGCACTAAGAAATGAAGAAAACTCCAAGCACTCTAAGGTTTCTACTATTCGAAAAGATCAGTGGTGAGAACTGACCAAACCAAAATGTGTAAACCATGATGCTATTACTGCAGTCAAGTGTTGAGAGGTGTCAAACGGAATTTGAGAAAACAATCTTTTCACCGTCTTTTCATCCTGCCCTGTCTCTTGTTCATGAAGCTAGGTGTCCAGTAAAAATTAAACAGTTTCTGACAAGTTACATAAGATTCTCTAAGTTTGGATTTCAAGCAGGAAGTGTATCTTTCTCTATATTTTATATAATACTCCATATAGTCAAAACTCAAGCAATACTAAAAATTAGATCAATAAGCTACATAAGAGATTTTTTTCCATGAGAAGATTACTTACTTCTACTATCTTCTGCACATCCACATCATTATAAAATGAAACAAATCCATAGCTAGAAAGGTAGATAAAAGAAGTGTAAAATCACCACCAGATAGTACATAGAAGAACTAGAGTTTTATCAAGCAATAGTAGACAGAGATGATAATGATAAAGGATGAATAAAATACTAAGCTAAATATGTGTAACATATACATGATAGACCATCTATAAATATTAGTGCTTTTTTTCTTACCCTAATCAATGTCAGAATGCACTAAGATTAAGGTAGTGTGGGAACCTCTTTTATTAGCAGAGAATTCATATCTACGAACCCAAATTTATTATCTACAGAAAGATGGTTAAAATTTAAGACACTCTGCAACCTGAGAAGAAAACAATTATTTATAAAACTGATTAATGTACTTAATCCTAATTAAATGATAGGTTATATTTAAATATAAAAATTAGGAAAATGATTAAAGATCTGGCATCAAACTTTTATTCTGTACGTGAACGAAATTAACAAAGCAACAAAGTTCACTTACGAAAGAATGCCAGTTTCAAAGGCTTCTTGATACTTTATGTTTTTTACGCTGAAACTAAAACACTGCTGTTGAGTCGATTCCAACTCATAACAACCCCATGTGTGTCAGAGAAAAACTGTATTCCATAGGGTTTTCAATGGCTGGTTTTTTGGAAGTAGATCTCCAGGCCCTTCTTCCGAGGTGCCTGTGGGTAGACTCAAACTAAGAACCTTTTGGTTAGTAGCTGAGTGTATTAACTGTTTGCACCACCCAGGGGCTTTATAGATGCTAGGGTTCAGATAATTTTTGATAATTTATACTGAAGGTATGTTTTACTCACCCTTTGGACACACCAGTTCTATCTGTGATTATCTTCACTTCCTTTACTGAACCATATCTAGCAAAGAAACTTCTAATTTCGGTTTCATCCATCTATGGAGAAAAATTTAATTTAAAGAATAAAAATTAAGCATTCAAATTTTTGAATTTTACTATAAAGAAGGTTTGGTGAGGTGGAAGTTTCTCTTCCAAGTATCCTCAAACTATCTGTAGCTCTTTGTCAAGATATTTCTAGTCCCTATGGGTTAAACATAAAACCAAATCCACATTGGCATGAAATACAAAAAAACGAAAAGTTTGCAACAGGGCCAAAATCACATTATTTACAACATACATTAAAATAAAAATAAAATATGAATATCATACCCTAACATCAATTCCACCAACAAAAACAGTATTTGGCATGATTTTGCCTTCTGGTAAAACATAGCCTTGGCTGGTTGTAGCTGATGAGGACTGGGTGCTGGCCTCTCTGGAGACTGTTGAATTTGGAGTCTCAGGATTTGCGGCAGACTGTAATTTGGAAAATAGACATCATAATCACATACACAGGTAAAAACCATATTATGTGAAATATAATTTTTATATTTAAAGTACAAAATATTTTTCTATGACTACTTTCATTATAAACTAGTCATCAATACAGGCTCAAGATTTAAAGCAGTCAGAGTAGATTAGCATGAAATTTTAACAAAAGGGTGTAAACGCAGTGTTGCTCACTGTCATCTCTTACACACTGTTGTAATAAAATAGAGTTTATATTGAGTTCATGAAAATATTTTGTGAACTGGTAAAAAATAATTAGAAAGTTCTGATTTGTAAAAGAAGTTATTAAAATCATTCTGATCTATGCCAATAAACAAGTTTTCAATTTACTAAGTATATTAATAAAAAGAATAGTAAATCTTTAAAAAAAAAAGTAAACAAGAAAAAGCTGCATCAAAATAAATACAAGTATCAGAGTTTTAAATCAATTTGTTTTTCTATTCACCAAAATTAACATGGAGCTTATAACGGTCTCCTCTGGGTACGCCTGCTTTACTTTGGAAATGGATCGTGAAAACATATTTATTCACGTATTACAGCTCCTGCTAAAAAAGGACTCATAATCCTCTTTTCTAATGGTAGGGTGTTCAAAGCATCTTTTGAAATAACATTTTTATTTCTGAACAATACTAAATCAGTCCCACTGATAATGCTAATTTTCACAGTGGCCTGATAAATGATACCATCTTTATTTTCAGACTGAAAACACACAAACACATACACACACACACACACACAAAACTCGTCATTATTTTTCTGGATTCTGGTCAGAATCTGTCTTTAGTCTTCTCACAGTAAACTCTAAGGTTAATGTAAAATTTTCTGAAACAGAATTTATTGGTAATATATATGTTGGCAGAGGTAATACAACATAGTGAAATGAAAACCGATTTAGTCAGGAGATCTAGGTTCATTTCCCTTGACAGGTTATAAGCCACTCACTTGCCAGCTGTGTATCTATGGGCAAATTGTTTTGAGAATGAAATAACATCTGCAAATTCATTTTATAACATGCCATGCCAATATAAATTAGTGTCCTGTTATTTAAATTTATTTTCAATAGGCTAAAAATAGTTTCTTTCCTAGTTCTACTATTTACTGATTTATTTTATAAATATTTTATTAATTAACAACTAATTTGAGTTGGAATTTCAAGAAAATACTTTATGGCACATTCACTCATTTGAAATTCAATTATGAAGTGACTACTGACTATAAGAGCTAAATACAAAAGGCTGTAAGAGAGAAATAAAGCTACTGCCCACACCTCTGCTTGTGGAGGAAAACAAAAACAACAACAAATCAACTGACACATTTTTTTAAAAAAGGTGTGCACAGTGGTCTTAAATTAACAGAAACTATAAGACAGTAGGTAGAATTCCTGTTTTGTTAAATAACTAGAAGTTAATGACGAATTTAAGACTTTACAAACTACTATACTTCTCTCTATTAATATTTTATGTTTCTATTGGAATACTTCCTAATTCTTTCCTTTAACAATAATACAGCGATATTTTATAACAAAGTCTAAAACCAAACCCGTTGCTGTTGAGTCGATTCCGACTCATAGTCGACCCCAGAGGACAGAGTAGAACCTGTCCCACAGGGTTTCCAAGGAGGACCTGGTGGATTCAAACTGCTGATCTTTTGGCTAGCAGGTGAACTCTTAACCACTGTGCCACCAGGGTTTCCTTATAACAAAGTAGGAGAGAGTAAAAAACTATTTCTAAAGTTTTTCTTTTTAATGTCTTACTTTAACTTTTTTCTAAATGGGAATATATTACATAAACTATGGATTGTCAACTATTGAGAACCTGCCTCGACTTCCCTTCTCTATACACAATTTACCAATTCCTCCTAATCAACTCATTCAAAAATCCAAAAAAATAAAACAGTGGTTCTGAAATTCTCATGGACTTTCTTTCTCATTCTCAAGTTACCCCTTCATTAGTAGATGAACTTTGTAAACTTTACTTGATAAATAAATTCTCTCTGGTATTACCTGTCTGTACCCCATAGTGGATGGATGTATTTTAATTTAGAAATGCAACATCTGGACTGAAAACTGTGCCAGATTAACAGAGGTTATGACAGTGCACTGGTTCTGTCCCCCTGAGGCATTTGGTAACACCTGGGACATTTCTGGTTGTCACAACTAGGGAGTGCTACTGGCATCTGGTGGGTAGAGGCCAGAGACACTACAATGCACAGGAGAGTCTCCCACAACAAAAAATCATCTGGTTCAAAATTTCAATACAGTCCAGGTTGAGAAACCCTATGGTAGTGCCACCAGAATTGAAGAGAAAAATTATTCTTTAGGAAGAACTTGCTCTTCATTGTTCAGTGAAGTAAGTATTTTCAGGATCTCGGTCTCCTTGCTTGAAAAACAAGTGGTAGGAAAAGTTCTCTTATGCCCTTCTAATTCTCATTCTATTTACAAAAGTAAAATGAATACTTGAGACAACTAAACACTAATTTGGGAAACAGAAAAAAAGGCTGTTAGCTATTATAGGAAATATAGCTTTGGCTTAAGTTTTAAAAGTTGGCCACCTGCTTAATTGGCATATTAAATATGAACTTCATCAAGTCATTTTACCAGTGTCATAAGGTCTTAAATTAAGGAAGACATTATCATGTTCTAGTCATCAGCCAGCAGGTGGAGCTCAAAGCCAACACAGTAAACTAAGTACTCCATTTTAACCAGACTGAACTGCAGGGATTTAAAAATATGTAGGTATTTAAACTCATACTATGTGTGTGTATTCATATATAATTTATATATAATCAATCCACAACCTAATGGAAAACCTTTGGTTATTTTAAACTATGGCCAAAAATGCTCTACAAATGAACGCTTAGGCTAAAGCAAAAGTTTGATGTTAAGGAAAGTATTAACCTTAACAATCAAGAAAACAACCAAATCCACTGCTGTTAAGTAGATTCTGACTCATAGTGACCCTAATCCAAGGCTGTAATCTTTTAAGGAAGCTGACTGTCACATCTTTCTCCTGCGCAGCAGCTGGTGGGTTCAAACTGCTGACCTTTCAGTTAGTAGCTGAGCACTTTAACCTCTGCACCACCAGGGTTCCTTTAACCATCAATAATATTACATAATGAAAATAAATTACACTTAATGTAAGACGTAATTATTTTTCTTAATGATGCCTTCAAGTAAGTTGGTGGGTTTTGATCTGAGAAATGCTGGGATATTATTCAAATAGGAGTGAATTTGGAGGCCATCATATACACAATTCTCATCGTTATTAACAGTAATATATCTCCTAATACATATGCGTAACTAAGTGGCAAGGTTAACTGAAAGCTGAAAAATTTTTATCATTACTAAAGCACAGTTCCTGGGACGTCAGTGCCGTTGACAATATTATTCTACTTGATTCCTATGTCTACATATAAGCAAACTGAGATCTATGTATAACTGACAAAAAAAAAAAAAGTACGTAATTTGTAGTCATCAAAGTTATATCCACAGCAGGAGGAAAGAACTCACACACATCAAAGCTAAAATTAAGGAAACAGGAAAATGAGAATCAGAACAAAAACTGTAAGTCCAAGAGTTGGTTCTTGGGGGAAAAATCCAAGAAGTAAATAAATAATCCCAGCAAAGCTAAGCAAGGTTAAAAAAAAAGCAAAAATATGCATTAGTCACATAAAAGAGAATAAGCTCTATGGGAATAAATTTGGAAATCTTGATAAAATGGAGAACTTTCTAGAGAAATATAAATTTTCAAAGCTACCTTAGGCAGAGAAAGAAAACTAGATTAATCAGTAACTATCATAGAAACTAAGGAGCCTGGGTTAGCGCAGTGGTTAAAGCACTTGGCTGCTAATGGAAAGGTCTGTGGTTCAAACCCACCAGCCGCTCTTTGGGAGAAAGATGTGGTAGTCTGCTTCTGTAAAGATTTACAGCCTTGGAAACCCTATGAGGCAGTCTACTCTGTCCTATAGGGTTGCTATGAGTCAGAATCAACTCGATGGCACTGGGGTTTTGGTTTTATGGCAGAAACTGGTCAAAAGATACCTGGTTCAGCTTCACTGGGAGGTTTTTCAAACTTTAAAGAAACAAATAATTTGTGTGTGTGTTAAAGAGAGAACGAGACAGAGACAGACACACTCACCAAGACACACAAACACTGGTAGATAGAAAAGTGGCAGTGGAGAAGAAAGAAAATTCACTTTTCTTTAACAAAACAACAAAAAAAAGAGAAAGAAAATCTTTCAGAGAAAACAAGAAAAAAAAAATTTCTAAATGCATTTTACAAAGCTAACACCATCTAAATAACAGAACCTGATTAAGATGGTCCACTCCCCTTCCAGTGCTCCCTAAAACAAAGATGAAAAGTTCTAGCAATATATAAAAAATATACTACAATTAAGTATAATTCATACTGGAAATGCAAGGATGGTTCATTCTTAGGAAATCTGTAAAAAAGCTTTTGACAAAATACAGCACTCATTTTCTAAAAATTTAAAAAAACCCAAGTAAAATAGAAATAGAAGAATCTTATCTACCTACTTATCTAGTTCTAAGCCATAACCAGGCTTAAAATGACTAGAATCAGTTCCATTGAAATTAGGAATACAATGAGGGAATCTCCTTATCACTACCATAAATTTCTTCCACTACATATAACATTTAATATTACTGTAGATAGAGTTCTTATAAGTCAATAAAAAAAGTAAGTATTCAAATAGAAAATTGAACTAAGAATTCGCAAAAAGAAATTTAAAAAGCTAATGGCCACATGATAAACTTCAATTTCCCTAATGATTTAAAAAAAAAAAAAAAATGTGTATCAACACAGTATACCATTTTCCAGCTAACAGACTGGCAACTTAAAAAATAATATCTCTCATTGCAACTCATGTGGAGAAGAGATCACTCTTCTCCATCAGTGGGAATATAAACTGGTACATACCAAAAGTAGCTTGGGAAAAAATACATAATTTGAAACAGGCATAAATTGGGTATAGCCCTTTCACCCAGAAGTTCCACTTCTGTCAATTTATCCCAAGTAATTACTACAACAAGCATGCTAAGATGTTTGTACAAGGATTTTATAATCGTATTGTCATAATGTTGAAAAATTATTCACTAGAA